ATCACTGTAAATAGCTACGACATGTATCACCCCATTCCATTACCCTTTTTTATGAAGGAGGACAATGCTGTTATCATTGAGCCAGAGATTGATTATATAGCTTTTAGCGATGATAGCGAATTCTATTTCACCTTGACTCAACAACAAAGTGATTCTTGTACTAGGCTAACTTCATACACCATTTGCAAAGGCAATGAACCAATTCAACGAAGGGCATCCTCTAAAATGTGCGAGGTAGAAATCTTAAAAAATCCGCAATTTCTTCCGATTTCATGTAAAAGTAAATACATAAAACTTGATGTAAGCATTTGGAACCGATTATTTAAAACGGATTCTTGGATTTATTGTACTCGTTCTGAATTTGTAACCCTAAATTGTAAAAACCCTCAAAAATCATTCCAGTTTAATATTAAAGGCATTGGCCGACTTAGTATCTCTCCTTCTTGTATACTACACACAACCATGGCAATAATGTCACCTATCTTAAACACATTTATTAACCATACATTAGATTTAGTACCGGAAAGTCCGTTGTTTAATATAAGTAACATCAAGGAATTAGATATAGAAGATATTAATCCCCATACACTCAGTCATTTTGGTTTATATAAAAATCTCCGCCAAGCAATACGTGAATCCACAATAGAACGAAAATCGAATAATAGAATAACAGAAAACATTTTAATAGTTCCAATGGAATATCATATTATTGTAGAATATCTTTGTATTTTAATAGTAGTAATAGTTATCGTATTTTTATTTGTAAAATCAAAAAAGCAAAAAACCTATGTTTATAAGCCGGAAATAGCAGAAACTGAATGTTAATTTTTCTGTAATTATATATATATTGTTTTTTTAGTATATTAAGTCGCAGGGACTGCTCTGGTTTGGCCCTGGGGGCATGTTATATGTAAGCATAGTATGTAGTATATAGTTATATTAGAGTATAATATTTGTATTATGATATGTATACTGGCGTACGTGACTACGGAGCCGGACGCTCGACCAGGAATCTGCTGATCCAGCGATTCCCACCCTGGCCGTTGTACAGAAGGGCCCCTTGGTCACGGCCGCCTCGGCAGTCTCGTAGACACAGGCGTCCAGTCAGAACCTCTTTTCATTTTTATACAGAAAATCATTTTAATAAGTCAATAAACACATCTTTTAATCTTTTAAACAGAATCTTTGCATCATTTCTTTAAAACACGTCCCTAATCTCTAAACTAGGAATAACAGCGCGCCGGTACACATCACCCTCGACTTTTGGCCTTTGAGTTTTACTTAGGTAGTACGTTGTTAACTGTACCCTGTGTGTCCGGAGTAAAGGGACTAATCTAATTAATAAATTAAGTTTAGTGTATTGCTCAACACACATGAGCTTTTTTGCACATTCATGTTGCATAACATAGTTGTTTTGATTAGCGTCGTCGTGTTCCACGTTTTACCTTTTTACATAAAAAAATCGCAACACAATTCGGCTCCATGAAATGTAGATGTTGTCCATTTTACACTATTTTATTATCCTTGATCCTTCCCGATTTTACAATTATTAAATTACCTACTGTTTAATAAATTATTAATAGTTTATAGAATATCGGTATTGGAAATTTGGTGTAGTTTTATTTTAAACAATTTATTGGAAAAAAAAAATATTATGACAATAGTTTCATGAGTTTATTTTTAACTTGTTTATAACTATTAAACTATATCAATCTGGCAATCATAAGTCTTATTACGTTTTTTTCCGTTATTTTTAATAAACTATTTAATAAAGCTACTTTAAACAGTAACTATCAAAACTAAGGTTTAAGAGGGCATGCTCTGTTCTAAAATTTTTAAATATTCAGAGCGGCTACAATTTTTTCTTTAAAAAGATGACAAATAAAATTTTAGTGCTAATTAAATATTAGATAATAGGTACATTTTTAAGAATGTTGAACTATTTAATTTCAATAGGTATTCACAACAACATTATAATTCTGTTTATATAATTTTTAGATATTAAGAAGTATTAAGTATTAATTATATACATAATATATAGGTAACACGTCTGCAAAGAGCCACTTATATCCATGCCTGCTATATTTGCCCCAGAGTCCGATGGAACATGGGGTCCTATAATTAAGTATTGACAATTTTATAGATCATTCTTAGGAAAGTTTTAAAATTGTTTATTGTTAAAACTAGGGACCTATGTATTCCATATTCATAGATTTTTCCCAAACATTTTCTTTGAATTTACCGAGATAAATCGTAGTACCTCATGAGTTTTTATTTATGTTCATAAGATTTGCTAACAATCTGTTTATGTTTACTGTGGATAAAAACTCCATATTTTCCGAAGATCCCTGACCTACAATAAGTAATAACCGCCAATCTACATGAGTTTATCTGATGGTTTGAAAAATATATCGATGATTGGATACTGGATAATCATTTACTAGAAAACATTTATTTATTTTCATTTTTAAATCGTGCACATACACCACTTATAAATTATATTATTATTTTCTACAATATATACTTGGTATTGAAGTAAGCTTATTTTTTTTCTAGCCGAGTTTTTGCTACTGTTAATATGATTTTAAGAAAAACTTCTGTGTTAGGAAAAGCACCCTGTGATTTTTTTTAGAAAATAAATTGATTGTGTGACTTATTATTAGATAGTATTATTAAGAAAGATTATTTTTCTATAAGTATCAGTTGCTTACAACTGACTTACTATTCTGCGAAATATGCTCGAAAATATGTATGCGTCGTACTTGCAAATATAAATATTGTGGTATAGACTTTAATTTTCGTAATCCATTACGCAATCAATTAAAGATAAAGGCGATAAAGCTTAACTATTATATTAATAAAACATCTGAATAGTGTCTGAATATGTTTTATTATTATTAGATGATGAGTTTTGACTTATTCATAAACTGACTACTTTTGTTTTGATTCCGTTCATGCTTGATAACACTATCATAAATAAATATGTGTGGGATACACTGACATTTCCAACTAGTGGTAGTGGTAGTAATATTCACCCCCCCCCCCCCCCAACAGAGAATGCTATTGCTAACAAATAATTCAATTATAAATTCATAACTTCTAGATTATCTTGTAGATATACAAGATATACAAGGTAGGTAATTATTACGTTTCACTTTTTGTTTTGTGATATGACGTTGGGTCAAATATTTCATTAATTTACCTATTATAACTTCTAAGGAATAAATTCAATAGGGTAATTTACTAAAATACTAATTTACCACGCTTAACCTACTTAAATATAACTATAACTTATACTAATATATTGTGTGTATACAATTCATACATTATGAGTACTCATAAATATAATATTAGACAGGTAAGCAAATAAGACTAGCATGGGTAAACGATCACTAAAAACCAGGTAGCAATAAAATAATCATATAGGTAACCATAGGTTTCCTGTCTTTTATAGTTTTAGATTCTGAGGAGAACGATGAATGTATTGATTTTACAATGATGTGTGTTTTTATTATTTTTTTTTTTGTGTGTCTGTGTAGTGTGTACACGATAACAGAAATGACAAGTATAACAGAATATTTTGAATTCAACCACTCTATACAAGGTGATTCGCAGAAGCATGCCCGACCCCATTTTTTTCATTTAATATTGAATTTATTGAAATTCAGATTTTTGGTAGGTATATTTAAATTTACTGAAATACCAATTTTTTAAATTCTTGATATTTTTCGTGTTACTTATAAGTGGTGTCCTGTGGTGATCCAAAATTATGTTTATCAACCAAAAACTCCCCTTTAATACATACTTGTAGATTGCTTAGTGGATATATTTTTTCAAACATTTTGTCGTAACTACCTAATTCAAAATTTAAATGAGTAGTTTTTCAGTTATTGAAATGTTTATGGATTATAAACCTTAACAATTATTTTACAAAATTATAAAATAAATGTAATATTGAATCTAGTATTTATTATAGTTGAACCATTTTTATAAATTATAAATATTAATAGATTGATATACCTAAATAAATAATTACCAAGTTATTTTCAAAAATTTTCAAACTATCAGCTCTCATATCTACCAAACCCATTATCATAGACCTATTATTCTTAGTCCACAAAGGTAATAAAAACTCAAAAATAGCTCGTTTGAATTTTGATTTTGATACGACAACATTTCAGAAATATTATCAGCAAAATATAATTCACTGAACAACAAAAAGGGGCGTCATTTGAAAAACAGAGGCTTGTAATTTGTATCTCAATAGAACACTCTAAAAAGTAGCACAACAAATCTCAAGGATATGAAAATATGGTTTAAAAATTCCGAAAATCAGTTTTTTAAATAATTTAATTAAAGAATTAAAGAAGAAAATAGGTTGAAACTACATGGTGAATCACCCTGTAGATACAAGTAACAAATTATAATAAATATTATAACTTATAACGCCATGAAACGGACTATTTGAGATAAATAATTATCTGGTGGTGTATATAGTTTATCAAAAACAAATATTCTATGTCACAGTTCTATCTGAAACGATTTTACTATTTGTGTTTTATAATATAAGAGATTTAATTATAATTGACACATTGAGTAATCTGTAATATTCATAGTTTTACACAACATTTACACCAAAAAAAAAGTTTTATATTGGTAATCACTAATCATACTTAGTCATATCAGCAATCATATTACCAAAAATGTTAATAATTTAAAATTTTTAAAATTTTTTAATCGTTCAAAACATTTTATGCAATATTATGTAGCATATTATATAAGTTAGTTGAACAATAATTATAAGTATTCATTAAGAAATTATATACTAATCTATATACTATAATTAATCTAAAATCTAAAGTTAAAAAATGTATTATGACGTAAAATAGTCGTAAACTTCAATAATTGTTGTACTGAATAAAAAATCTAAATGTTTAAATAATTTTAAATTGTGGATTTTATCAATTTTAAATCATTTTTGTTCACAGTCACTGTAGAAGATGACTGTACGGGCACCGTCATTTCTAGTTCGGCGAATATGCGTCTTCATCTTTTTAGGAATCATGGGATATTCGATTTTTCAAATGACCCGCAGCAATTCCTATTACGATATGACAGATCGAAACATTATGCGGTACGTTCAACTAAAATAGATTATTTTTTTTTAAAAATTCATAAGGGGTACCCATAAGTTCATACCTATACGCATTAATACGTTTAAAATGCAGTTAAACCTACCTCTTTTTAGCAGAATTACTGGATACCAACTGATTTTTACGTTATACTGGAGGTTTTGTTGTAGCGAGACAAAAATATGCAGATTATACGTGACTGTTGTTATTTCTGTAGTGATGAGATTTCCGTCTTATATTATAGGTGGTTTTTTATAAGGAGGTTTCACTGTACCTACATATTTTAAATGCCCTTTAAATGATAATAATTAGTGGGAGTGTGGTTTTAAACAGATACCGGGCTATCAACGCACGCACAGGAGTCGAACATATGACGTCAACGGCACCACTGACCAAAAATAAAAACCGTAATTTTTTGCTCAAAATATATTTTACAGGAAAATTTCTTACACCACTTCGTAGAAAAATTTAATATCATTATTTATTATTATTATTTTTTTTTTTTTTTGAAAGAGGAGATTTTTGCAGGATTTTTTTATTCTTGATTTTGTTGCTTAAAACAAAAATACAAAAAATTGAGAAAATTTGATTTCGTTTAAATTACCTAAAAAAATTATTTTGACCAAAAAAACTGGTGTTTTCCTGAAAAATTAAAAAATGTTTTTTTTTATAAAAATTTTTTTTTTTTTTTTTTTATTGGATCACCCGCGGCAACTTAGGCCATTGGGTGTTAGTGGTTTATTTTTGTGTGTTGTTATGTCGGTAGGGGGAGGAACACGTGTGTGTTGGGTTTGGCAGAATTTTGAATGGGGCACCTGTAGGTTTCTGCCATGCCCCGGAGTGGGGGATGGCGGCACTTGTTCTCCGGACACCGTGACTTGCCCGGAGAAAAATACCGCCCAGTGGTCGAGAGGATCGAACCCGCGTCCGCCAGCGCCGCAGACGACGTGTCCGACCTTCGGCCACCTCGTCCCCCTATAAAAAATTATTGTATCCCGCCAATGATGTATTGTTGTTACGGATATTCTTTTTTTTTTTTTATTATTAATTTAGAAAATCTACAATCTGTATAATATTACACAATAAGCAGAATTGATAACAGATATAACACTATATACATACATATAAAAAAAAACAACAACAAACACAAGATGAGGGAAAACATCCAGCGATGGTACCCTCTAGTAATTTATTTTTATTTTTATTTTTATTAATTAATTGATCACGGCACCAATTTCTTTTGAGTCGGCGCGGTGGGTTGTCAGGAATAGTACGTGATGCTAGGTGAGTGACTAAGGATTTGGATGGTGTTGCAGTTTAGAATGAAATCTGTTTACAATTTAGCTAGTTGGTCAACTGTTGGAATGCTTGTCTTTGTGCAGGGTTTTATTTGTTACATACCAAGGGGATATTCTTAATAATTAATATTGTCATTACCCATTTGTCAATCGTGCGTTGCCTTTATACTTACAAGTAATATTAATAATATAACATTTAAAAATACAGATGATTTTTTTCGGGAGAATACACTCTCCCACATAAATACTTATTCGACCTATATGATAATATGTATCTACATTATTTTTAAAACAAATATTGAAATATCCGTATATATTTTTATTTTTAAATTTTAATACAATGATACACATTGATAACCGTATTGACAAATGGGAAATGACAATGACAGGTTCCCTTATCTATTTTTAAAATGGTTTTTTTCTGACTTAGATTATTTTAAATTTTAAGCGTAAAAAATTTTTATAATTTCCCAAAATTTCGGTTTTTTTTTAATTTTTCGAAAACCTTTTTTTTCGGAAATGTATAATTTTAATATTCTCTAATTTTTCAAGGCTTTGTGAAAAAAACTGAATTTTGATCCCTACACACGGAATTTATGTAAAATATTTTAATTCCAATAAAAGTTAAAATAAATATTCGTTCGAGTAAGTATTCCCTTCTGTCGTGTGTACTGGCACACAAGCGTATTTTTAAAATAAAAAGTTGTAAATAATATTTGTATGCTATACACAAATTAGAGCTTCAGCTTGAGTAGAACATCAGTACTATTAAAATAATATCCCGTTCATCTGTTGTCCTTATTAAAATATATTATTTCTATAAATCATGATAAATAATATCAACAAGTAATAAATTATGATTTGCTTTTTGTCTGTTTAGAAAACAAATCGAACTCGATATTAGCAAATCATCAAATAATGAAGCTCCAGTTAAAAAGTAATGTATAATTATGTGATATTATTAGATTAGAACATAAGATATAGGTAGGTACATAATATTATTTATTAAGGGCTCTGAGTATTAACTATTTTACTCGGATTACAGATGTCACAATTTAAAAAAATATTTATATCAAGTAATAAAAATAATAACTTATTTCTTATTAGAATATAATTACCTATGTAATTTTAATATATATATTATATATATATTAGGTATATAATAATTTATAAAATAGTTGTAAGTAGCCTTTTTGTTTCAACAGTAAATAAAAAATATTTTACTTATCGTCAATAATTCAATAAATACTTTATAATCATATACATAATACTAATTTATAGTAAATTTATTGATAATAAATTTACTATATAATATAAACTCAGTTAGATACCTCTTCTTAAAATATAGTTATCTCAATAATAGTATATTATTAATAAAATAATTTTTTATTTTTATTTAAAAGAGTATATGCAATCTATATTCTATATGACATATTGTGTAGAAAATAAAATTCCTTACATAGTTAAAAATAAATAAATAAATAAATACATAATACAATTTGATTAATTTACCCCAATAAGCGTAGCTTGTGATGGTTCAAATGAGTTACATATGTTTACAAACTTAAAATAGAATTATATAAAGAAAAAGAAAAATAAAATAAAAAAGACCGTAAACTGTTAATATAACATTAAAACTACCAAGATTAATTTTCAAAGTAAACTACGACTTTAAGTCTAAAAATTAAGATTTTTTACTAAGTGGTTAAATATAATATTTTTGTTATTTAAATAACCTAAATTTTTTCCAACGTTATGAAAAATATCTTTTTTTAGAAGTAAAGGCATAGAATTAAACATACATAGTTGGATCTAGATCATTTATGATGAAATGTTTACCAATATCTTTTTTTGTGTACAATACGTTAATGTCATACGACCTTATTTCACGTACCTACATTAATAATACTTCTTTGCATTCTAATTTTTAAACTCGTGTAATATATGGACAATTGCATGTACAGAAAAGACAAAGTCTTTGTCAGAAGTACATTAAGTTCAATATAATTATTTTTGGAGGATCCTACTAAATCTTTTTTTATTTAGACATAATTTTACCATCAGGTTTTGTTGCACTTCTAAAGGTCTCAACGAGTTATTAGCACAATCTCCCCAAATAATTAAACCATATTGAACGATGGATTTGTATAAAGCTTGATAAATAGTATGCATCTTTCAGTAGGTGTAATTGTATTTAATTTGTACATCTTAAAGACAATAGATCTTGAACTCATTTTACCGGGTCTAAAACCAAATTAGTTTTTGGATAATTAGTCCGATATTAATCTCGAAAATATTAATAACATATTTCTTTAATATACATAGAGTTCGTATACTTATATACACTTATTTATAATTATAATATTACTGATTTTCTATTAAAATGAACTTGATTATTTAGTTATTTTAAAGTGGCGCAAATTACAATTTTAATAAGGTGAACGATGGCACAGATTACTTAATGCCCTTTTATTAAATTTTGTGTGGCTCAAACTACAACCTTAAAAAGTGCCGTAAAGTGCCGTAAATTACCAAAGTTAATTTTTAGATGGGTCTGATGATGTCTTATACCTAGACTGACATACCGTCTCCGCTCAGAATCGTTTTCTCATACAATGATATTATAATATTGAACTCAAAATTAATACCATCCATTATACAGTGGCCCCTTTGTAATCTACTGTACAGCAGAGCGACTCTTTTGTATTGAATAGGAAGTTATTTGTATTGAATACTTTTGGTTTTTTTTTTAAATATTATGAACCAATATGATTGACGAAAATTTCGAAAACATTATGTTTCTAAAATATATATTTAATGAATGAACTTATAAAAAATGATTATACACTTACTGTGTCTACCATTATATTATATGTATAGTGTGCGTTAAAATAGGTAATCACTCTTTACCTATATTAAAAATAATAATATTATAAACACGAGTGACAATCACAGGCGTGGTTTATCATGATATGAAAGTATTAATTTGTTGTGTATGTTTTTCTTTTTGTTTTTTTTACACTCAAGTTTGAAAATCGAAAATTATATAGCATGTCCACATCCTATTTTGGACCCGTTCGACCCGATCATGATGAAATTCGTCCAAAAGGAGCCGCCTTTGACCTGTGACCCGGAGGAAGATTGGGTTACTGTGAAGGGGAATATCGCGCATATCACCGACAAGGCTCTCAAGAAGTACGGCGACATCCAGTGCAAATTTATGGGTAAAATAAATGTTGCGAGACGGTTTTTCACAAGCTTTCGTTTCATTTCCGGTTTTGTACATTTTTCAGACATTTTGAGGGCCAACGAGTTCTCCACGTCGCTGGGCGTCGTGACCACCACTCACACGGAATACAATTTGGAGACATCGGATTTTTTCAGAGTTTACTGTAAATCGGAAAATGGAAAATTCAGGTGGGGTGCAATTTATTTTTTAAATATACCCATTTAAACATTTAACGTCAAAACACCACATGTTCCGATAATGCTGTACAATGATAGTATAGAAGTAAAACCACAATGTAGATAGGCAAATACGTAATTATTATTTGATGGGACATTATACGGTATTAACAGAAGCTCATAATAATAATTTCTTATTAGTAATATTATTATGCAGTATTACAACGATTATTTTTTATTTAAAAACCCGACAAACAGTCTTTGAAAATAATTATTATGACATTACACTACGTGTTTATTTCTATATTATGTGCACGACACTTATGTGTTTTTTTTACGTTATCACGATAGTTTGTATTATAATATAAAATTTACTAACCGATTTGAATTTGATTTTTTTTTTCAATTCAGTTGGGAGAGCCGCATGGCTGGCATACGATTCGACGAGGATGTGATAAATAGAGCCGGATGGGACCAGGTGCCCAAAGACGGGTTGGGCCTCAACGTTCTAATGATCGGAATGGACTCTATGTCAAACATGATGGTGCAGAGAATACTGCCAAAGGTGTATTCCAAACTCAAGTCTATGGGAGCACGAGTGCTCAATGGCTACAACATTGTCGGCGACGGCACTCCGCAGGCGTTGATACCGATTTTGACAGGCAATGATTTTTGAATGAGCATTATAATATAATATATTATTCGATATATTTAATTGTGGCCTGGTTAAAATCAAAATTTAAATTGAATCCATTTTATAATAATATGATCCAATAATTTATAATTGATTACGCCTATAATAATTAGTAAAGTAATTTGTATATTGTATAACACTTTAATCATCGTCGCGTTCTTATCGTTACAGGACGCACTGAACTGGAGCTTCCGGACACTAGGAAACGCATGGGGAACAAAGCGTCATACGTGGACGTCTACCCGTTCATATGGAACGAGTTCAAGAAACACGGCTACGTCACTGGCAAGTATAATATTTAAGTGGCGTTTTAGGTTTTATATTTTGTCGTTAACCCGAACCTCGATCGGTACAGTTAGGCTTAGGACGCCTTTCGAATTCCAACCCGTCATATGGTCACCGGGGCCACTAAGAATTTTTAGGGTTTTTTTTTGGGGGGGGGGGGGGAGGGATAAAATTAGGAAAAGTGGACTAACCAATCTCAAGTAGACATAACAACAAATTCAAATCCGTTTTAAAAAGTATTATCACATTACTATATCGATGAGTATGATAGAAAGAAAATTGGATGTTTCGGCTAAAATAACTGTTTAATATATTATAAAATATAATATTTCGTCAAAACCACTTTTTCGCATCGTCCTATAAAAAACTTCGTTTCAATACTACTCGTATGAATTTTGATTCTAATACGTCAAAATTTTCAAAAAATAAAATTATCCACCAATAAATTTACAGTAGAAAATAGAGGTTTACATTTGTAAATCAGAAGTTTCTATCTCCACAGAATACTCCTTAAGTAGTACAAAAAATCTCAAGAATTTGGAAATATGGTTTTTAAGTTTATTTATAAATTCCAAAAGTCATATTTTAAATCATTACATTCTTGAAGAAAAAAGGGGTGAGCTTGCTTAGTGAATCACTGTGTATATTTTGTATAATAACACGTAGTCGAGATGACCATAAATCGCGACTACCGTCAATTTGATAGTAGCGATAACCGAAAAGTAACCTTTATTCCAACCAGTGGGGTTTATTATTTTTTTTTCCACTTTTTGTGGTAAATACTATGACTTGTGATACATAAATATTTTAAAAATATATTGTTCAGAAATACAAACGACCACTCCGAATTGTTAACATTGGAACAAATTATATTTTCTTTCATTTTATTGATTATTTCTTCTGGGTTGTATAGGTTATGCTGAAGATGTTCCGGACATTGGCGTATTTACGTACAGGCTAAAAGGATTTGACCAACAGCCGACCGATCATTATATGCGATTATATTACGTAGACGCGTCGCCAATGTTCAAACAACAAAAGCCTTTTTGTTACGGTTCTCTACCTAGACACAAGGTAATGGTAATCATTTTTGAACATTTTATTTTATTTTATTTTATTTTATTTTATTTTATTTTATTGTATTATCTTAAGCATATTATTTAATACACGAAACGAAAAAAGCCAAAAGACGAGTTAATTTGAAGAAAAGTAGCATCAAAAAATAAAATAAGTCATAATATTATGATATAGCTATATAACTAATTAGAGAAAGTTAACAAAATTACTACGAAATGTATCACGGAAACAAAAGCAACTATGATAATTCGGTATTATTTTTGTTATTTGACTAACCATTAGTGAACTCACAAATAATTGTTTGTAATATACATTTAATAGATGTTACCTTACAATAATTAACGTTAAAAAATACAAAATTGATAAATTGCTTTACAAAATAGTTGAAAATATTATGCAATGTTGAATTATATTTTTACAAATAATGAATGTTTAAGACTTCAATCATTAATTATTCTTATTTCTTTTACCTGACTATTTGATTATAAAAAGTATTCCTTTTTTTCTATTTTTGATATACATAATAGTATTGCCTTGATTCCTGAGTATTGAAGGAGGGCAGGGCCGGATTAAGCACGGAGCCTGGGAGCCCGGGCTCCAGGCCCTGAAATATTGAAGGCCCCGAAGGGGCCTTTTATTTCAGGCCAAGTTCAAAATAATTTAAGTTTAAATTTTATTTTGATATAATTTTCGTATTTTTACTATATGTATTACCATTGATTATAAATATTAGTATTTATAATCAATGGTATTACGCAGTGTGCTAAAAGTATTGATGGGAGAACTGTAGCCTTGAAGAGTTTGAGTGAAACACGATGGTCAGCTAGAGCACACTCTACTAAAGTACTTTGTGAGAATTATGATACCATACTTAATCGTTTAAAATATTTAAGTGAAAATACGGAAATAAAAAAAGATGCACGAAACGAAGCACAAAATATAATTAACAAAATTACATCACTTGATATTGCTTTCATGACAGTACTATGGAACAGAATTTTAGAAAGATTTGACAAAACTAGTGTTAAATTACAAGAGAAGTCACTTGATTTATCAGTCGCTGTTAAGCTTTTAAAATCTTTACGGGCGTATATTGGTTCAATAAGAAACAATTTCAATGATATAGAAAAAGTGGCATTATCTCTTTCTAAAGTTATTTCTAAAAAGTATAATACTGAAAAAAAAGAAAAATAATTCGTAAATTAATTCCAGATGAAATGATTCGAAATGAAGAAGAGACCACTTTTTCTGGGCAGGAGAAGTTTAGAGTTGAAACATTTATAGTTATAATGGACAAATTAGATATATGCCTGCTAAAAAGACTTGAACAATATAACGATTTAGATAGAAAGTTTGGGTTTCTTACTTATTTTAAATCTATGACTGAGGAAGAAATTGTGGATATGGCAAAAAATCTTGGTAAAATATATCCGGACGACCTTGATTGTGACATTTTTCCCGAAGAAATGATACATTTTACCAAATTAGTTGATGAGCAAGATGAAGAAGGAAAAATTAAAATGCCATCAGCACTAAAATGTCTTCAAATTATACACGATAATAAACTCAAATCAGTGTTTCCTAATGTGGAAGTAGCATATAGATTGTATTTATGTCTTCCAGTTGCCAACTGCAGCGCAGAAAGAGCATTTTCAAAATTGAAAAGAGTGAAGAACGAATTGAGGTCTACCATGAAAAATCCACGCTTGAACGCTTTATCATTAATGACCATTGAGAGATCTCTACTTAAAGAAATAAATACAGATGAAATAATTGTGGAGTTTCAAAAAAAGAAAAGAAAATAAGGTACCTAATAAAGTTAATTTTAAAATATTTTATTTTTATTTTGACATTTAAACAATAATGTTGTATATTTGTATGTAACGAAAATTAACTAATATTTAAAGATTAAAAAATATATATCTGTACCTACAATCAATTAATTTGTATCATTTTTTTAAATAAATAAAATTCAGTTATTGGTAATTAATAGTGTATGAATTAAGGGCCCTTTGGACTACTGGGCTCCAGGCCCGGTAAACTCTTAATCCGGTCCTGAAGGAGGGTTGAAAATTTGAGTGGACTTTTTAAATACTATTTAGTTTTTAATTGACATCAGTTTATTTACAGATAATGCTCAACTACATTAAAGACATGTTTCGGGTGTACAGAGACAAGCCAAAGTTCATGTTTGCATTCCAAGGCGAATTATCCCATGACTATGCGAGCAAGGTATCAGTCGCGGAAAACGACCTGGTTGAGTGGTTGGAATGGTTTGAGAAGTCTGGTTACCTGAACAACACTATGCTGGTGTTTATGAGTGATCATGGTCAGAGGTATAATAAGAAAGTTTAACGGTTTTACAGGATTTCGTCAGGTGACATGTTCTCAAGGCTAATTATTGTTGTCCACTCACAGGTTTGCTTCTGTGCGCGACACACAACAAGGCAAACTCGAAGAGCAGATGCCATTTTTCTCATTCGTGCTACCTAAATGGTTTGACCGGAAATATCCGACAATGGCGTCCAACCTGAACAACAACACTAACCGTCTAACAACCCCGTTCGATATATACTCAACACTGATGAGTGTCCTGCATCGAGAAGAGCCTAAAACCGACGACGTGAACAAGCGTTCAATATCGCTGTTCAACGAGGTATATTAATATAAACTATTTTAATTAATTAATTATTTTATGTTATGTTTTAATTTTACTCAAAATTAAAAAAATTAGTCGGTGGAATAATTATTACAACCACCTATTCGACTATGATACACATTGAGTGTCACAACTCGCAAGCGATTTTAAGTTTTGAAAATCGTCTACTCGATCATTCCGAAATGACCATCGTCATTCGTCGCACTAAATCATTGCAGAAAACTCATCGTAATAATCACACTAAATCAACCGCACCCATCTCTTTCAGATACCGTTGGAGAGGACTTGCAGAGACGCATATATCGAACCTCATTGGTGCGCTTGTTTGAAGTGGCAGCCGATAAGAGTGGATAGTTCGTTGGCCGTCGACGCAGCCGCAAACTTTGCACAGTTTCTCAACAGGTGAAAAAATACAGCCAAGTTTAATAAATATTATGAAACGATTGATGTTTTTATCTCCACGTTATCCATCTTGCTACCTGTAGAGCCTGTTTCCTATACATTTAGGCATAGAGTAAAACTTATATATGTAGGTACCCTTTATCAGTATACTTTTTTTCTTATTTAAATCCAATAATACTCTTTAAACTCTTAAATATATAAATACATCATTCGCACATGCGTATCATAATGTCGATGTGTGTATCATGTCATAAATAACATTGTAAGAAGCTTTTTTTTTATTCAACAACAAAGTACACAAAGTTGATGTTTAATTGTTTGAAGTTAAACAAATCGAACCTAACTGAACCTGGCCAAAAAGTTCAAAATTCTATAATCATTCGGATTTAATTATTCAAAACTACAAAAAAAAATTTGAACAAAAAATGTTTTTTTTTTACAATAAAACTAAAAAGCTTAATTCTTGATTTAATTTAATAGCTCGATTTAGGTTTAAATCAGCATTAAACGAAATATTTGGTTTACGAGTTCGGTTTGATGTTGAACGAAAAGTTCGGTTTAAGTTCGACATCACACTGAATAGTTCGGTTTGTGTTCGATTCGGTGAACTTGCAACGCATTATATATAGTGTTTGAAAATTTCATGAAATTTAAAAAAATGAAATATTTCAGTATTTTAATATATTTTGTTTTATTTTTAAATAAGTTTTATATTTACATATAATTGTCATAAATTACCTTCATCACTATATGGTACCTGTATGTATACCTAATCTTTGGTATTATACATTTAAATTGGTATTCAAAATTTTTAAATATTTTAATGTTTAAATGATACAAGTAGGTATACAATATTATACATGTATATTGTATACTTACTGAATTCTGACATTAGAATTTAGAACACTGAACATTGTGTTGAAAAAATAAATAAATTGTGTTTTTATTTGTGTTAAAAAAAATTTCAATGTTTCACGTCTTTATAAAATATTTCACAACTTAGTGAAATATTTCATGAAATATTTCTCATACTTCAAATACTAATTATATATACCTATATGAAACTAATTATTTGCGAATATTATGTTTCTTTCGGAAAACCAAACTCTGTTTGACTATATAATTAAAAATTGTTTTTTGTGAGTCAAGCTGTCAACCGGTCCCACTTTGCGCTTCGTTCATCGTATTATTTTATTCAGAAGTCTTGTCACGCAGGTTTAACGCTGAGTACAGTGACCTGTGTGCGCCGGTGGAGATCGATCGGATCGAATGGGCCAATAAGATGGCACCCAACGAAGGGCTGTTGAAATTCCACCAGGCCGCCGACACGGATGGATTCGTACCCGACATGTCGGCCAACACCAAAATAACTGACATCTATCTGCAGATAAAAGTGATCTCACGAAAGCCTGCCTTCGCCGTGTTCGAATTTTCGTGCCAGTACAACAGTAACACCAGGCGGTACACGGTTTACGTAAGTTTTGCCCAAAGTTCACGTCAATAATAGTATTTATTACAATGTGTATGCCAATAAGTATTTTTCCATTTTAATAGAATAAAAATAAATCTAGGTTATATTTATTATATCTATTTTTTTTTTTTTTGAGATATATAGGTATTTTGTTATTTTCAACGTTTCAGGAAAAACATATCAGCAGAATTAATCAGTACGGAAACCAAAGTTGGTGCGTCGCGAAAACCCAACCGCAACTTAACAAGTACTGTTACTGCAAACTACAAAACTGAGAAAGTCTGAAGTCTGAGTGGAAACGTGATCTGAACACTAATATTTTCCAAGTTCAAACTCAGCTTCGCGTTACTCGAATTTCATTGTTAACATTTTAAATTTTATGACGTTTTGTGTCATAAATAATCCCAACTGTTATTTTTACTACCTATAATATGTACACCTGTAATATTATTAGTTTAATAATAATATTAGTGTTACGTAGACTTTTAACCCTCCAGTTTAAACTATTAGTTCATTTAAGTTCATAATTCCATATAATTTTATTTAAGTATTATATGTGTAATTTCAAACTATTATTCAAAACTAGTTTTTTATTTGTTTTTTTCGTTTTGAATATTATAAGTTTGATTAAACTTTTAAAGTCTATTCATTCACTGCAAAATATTTTGTGTTGAATGAAATTTTGGCGTAGCCGATTCGGTGATAGAATTGGAAATATTATTGTATTTTCTCACAACTTACATAACACTAAGCAGATGATACTTAACAAGAAAAAACACGATTTGGCGATATATAGGGGAACAGATGGTAGAAAGGAATACTTGACGTTCATGCCCGATTTTAAATCAATCTAATTAATGCAGATTTTCAAATTTACAAAAAAAAAAAACAATGACAGAAATAATAATTCCTTTAAATTTAAAAATGTTTTATTTTTAATAGATTATTCTCCACATCATTATAATATTTTATTACCGGAAATCGGAATATTATACTAATATTAACATATTCTCCAAAAATACTATTGCCCGAAAGGCATCGCCATAAGACATATATTGGGTTTGTTTTATTTTGATTTTATAATGTAAAATTTTTGGATATTGACTATCCTAAATATTGGGAAGTGAATCTATTTCGTCTAGTCAGATTAATTTCTTGAGTTATAAAATACGCATAGACTTATATTTTTCTGGTCAATTTTAATTTTTAAGACGATTGATTTTAAATACATAACATTCGCTACTGAAAAATTATAATTCATACTTAAAGGCGTTTACTTATAATATTCATAAATTGTATTTTTGATTTTATAATTACTTCTGTGAAGTATAATATAATTTAATGTGAAAACTACGTTTTCCAAATGTTTGTTATAAATTGTGATGTTTTAGTGAATATTTAATGTTCATGACTCCTCTATAAACGCATTGTTATTTTTAAATTGTTAGTATTTGTAATATATTTTTTTTTTTACGGAGTTCAATATTTTGAAGTATAATATAGTATTTTATTTGTATTTATTCAGAATATTATTTGTGTAACTTTTTCTCGTTGCTTAAATCCATTTTTAAAAATCAGATGTAATAACTTATTTGGATTAAGAGTAGTTAGGGTTTCAGACAAGCTATAAATCGATCAATCCTGACTGATAAATATAGGACTTAAATCCCTAAACTATGATACCTAGCTTGGGACTTATAATGTCGCCAGTACCTTCGTACCACTGTGCAGTGGTATACTAAGAAAGGACTGTCCAAAATTTGCATTTTAAAGATGTTTATTTATTTATTTATTTATAATATATAAACGCCAAACGGCAATTTTAAATTAACACATTAAGTTTAAAATTAATAGATACAACAATAATATAATACAAATTCACACAAAATTAGAACATATGGAAAAACACAACATAATATAAACTAAATGGTAATACCTTAATTTAGTAATGTATAACTATGATACAACATATTTATAAATGATATTATTTAATTACTTATTAAAATCAAAATTAAGATTGTTCAGATTACGAAGCATTCTGTGCAAGGGGTGATTATGTCCGTATAATGTATTGTGAGTTGGAACTTGGAAGAGTGCGTGATTTCTGAAGAAGAAGGAAGGGATACGAAAACATATTTTAGAGAGGAGATCGGGTGCATCTATGGTGCCACCTAGGAGCGAGGTTAAAAAAACCTTTGAAAAAAATTTGTATTATATTAGGCAAAATGACATAGCAGTGTTTATTATTGTATTAATTTCATATTTATATTATTATATTAATTATGTTAAAATATATTTCTGAAGTGTTGTTGTTTATAATAAAAAAAATTGATTAAACTATTAAATTCTAAACATTTTATAATATATTACTATTGCCCAATATACAATGGTTGCTTATACAAATATGGTGTATATCATTTTATCCGACACTCCGGGTAAAATGACATAAGTAAGTACATTTAGAAAAAAAGCAAATTAAAATTATTTGTTTGTATTAAATGTACAATTAGACTTCAGAAATATGTGTATAATATAAATACAAATATTTTACTCAAGTTTCATGTGTTAGCTAACGTTATTTAATTCATTTTTTTTTAAATTAAAAAGTGGTATATCATATTAAGCCATAGTCTCCCCTATATTAAATAATAAATAATAATTAAATACTATAGTCTATTTTATAATAATATAATCAATGATAAAAGTCTTGAGCCTTGACACAAAAACTGAAAAACAATTATTATTTATTGATAGGTAATAAATGATGATAGGCAACTAATAGAAAATTAGTATTGGTTTAATATTATTTTATATGATTGACATTACTTTATATATTATGTACATTTTGTATTTGAATAAAAGTTGATTTCAAAATGTGTAGTGGTAGGTATACTGGTTGGTATATAATTATTTATAATTTTAATTAAAATTTGTTTATTCACTAGTTTTATATGAATTTATTTGTGTATTGTTAGTAGCCAGCCGGTATATTAGTTAGGGGTGTGCGGGAGTTATGTCCCTGCGGGTCTGTGCTGCTGATGAAATTTTAGTCCCCCGAAATATTGATACTAGTTGTGCTTATGGGGTATGGGAAACAATTTATGTCGGTATATTGGTAAGATTATTATATTTAATTTTACAGTACCTATATGAGCTGAACTGTCTTAACTATAGATAGGTACAGTTAGTGTTTGAAGTATGAGAAATATTTCACAAAAACGTGAAACATTGAAATTTTTTTTAACACAAATAAAAACACAATTTATTTATTTTTTTGACACAATGTTCAGTGTTCTAAATTCTAATGTCAGAATTCAGTAAGTAGGTATACAATATACATGTATAATATTGTATACCTACTTGTATCATTTAAACAATAAAATATTTAAAAATTTTAAATACCAATTTAAATGTATAATACCAATGGTTAGGTATACATACAGGTACCATATAGTGATGAAGGTAATTTATGACAATTATATGTAAATATAAAACTTATTTAAAAATAAAACAAAATATATTTAAATACTGAAATATTTCACGAAATATTTTATTTTTTTAAATTTCATGAAATTTTCAAACACCAGATACAGTGAATTGCGGAATAAAAACACGCTATAGTGGTACATAGCAATTATTGTATACAATCATTATATTATTGGAAATTGGAATTAGGTAGTAATTTTTTTTATCGGGTTTGCGAGACACCGGGCCTGTTATCTATTGCTGTTGGATAATTGATAATGTAATTCTCGTAGATAAGAGCTATACTATAATAAATAATGGTCGTATAAAACTATTATGATTATTGATCATAACGGTCGTAGAAGACTATTATGATTATTGATCATAATGGTCGTAGAAGACTATTATGTTTATTAATCAAACTGTTGCTTCGCATAGAGTACAGTGAACTCAAAACGTGTAGAACACAAATGAAAGAACAGAAATTCATAACTTATTTAATGCTGTGATATATTATGTTATTATAGTAAGTTTTTGTCTATTAGAAAGTGAACAATGCATTGGTTTGGTGTATGTTGTTTTTGGCCATTATTTGTTTTCGTCTTGTCAGATAATAATAATTCAGTAAGTAAATAACGTATACATAAATAAAATGAATTAACATGTATCTATATCAATATCATCGAAATCCGCAGTTTAAATTTAATCAAAATATTCAAATAATTCAACGATTCAATAATGGTAGTATTGATTTCATATTTTTCAGACAAACAACCGGACGTTCATTGTAGATTATGAAAAAAACGAATTCCTAAAAGACGGAGAAGTGTTCCGATACGTTTCTGGTGATTTGCACTATTTTCGAATTCCAAAACCTTATTGGAAAGACAGAATTCAAAAAGTAAAAGCCGCTGGATTAAATGCTATAACAACGTGAGTATTTATAAAATGTATCCATACATGTAGTTTTACACAGTGCAGTTAAATGTAACAACAACATCAACTTCATATTTTAGAAAAACTTTTTAAGGTATAAACATGTTGGCTGTTTTTTTTTAGTATTTAAATTATTTTGTTGTATATTAATGATGGTCGGTGGACTTCAGTATTTCTAATGTATTTTGTATACTGCAGTTTTCACTTTTCCAAGAAGTACCTATGCATATTATGCCTGATAGTAACATTATATCTATTATAATTCATAATGATCTACAAGATTTAATAAATATAAAATTGTAATGATTGAATTAAGTTACAATGTGGTTATACGTTTATACACTAATATACACAAGAAACATAGGTAGTCATTAGTTTTTATATACTACCTAGATAATGCCTACAATCTACATATTAGTAAGAGTAAATCTAAAAAAAAAACAATAAAGGAGAACCTAGTTTTTATATTATATCTACTTGTTACTTTCAAAGTATATAATTATTTGTTTTTTTTATCCAATGTTAAATGTAATAATATGTGTTTATACCTGTAACATAATATAGTTGTTACAATTCGTCAAAGGATTATTTACAAGTTCCCACATATTGAATATAAAATATAAAAAGTAAAACGGATGAACTCTAATTATAAAAACATACGGTTATATTATTATTGTGACACAAATTATAATTATCATGATATTTTTAGTTATGTAGAATGGAGCTTACACGAACCATTCCCTGGCAAATATAACTTTGAAGGGATGGCTGACTTGGAGTATTTCATAAAATTGATCCAAGACGAAGGCATGTACCTAATCTTGAGACCAGGTCCATACATATGTGCTGAACGTGATTTTGTAAGTATAAATGTAGTTTTCATACCATACTCATATTACCAAATCATATTATAAAAATATATATTTACTACCTACATAGGTATTAATTTTTAGGGTGGATTTCCATATTGGTTATTGAACGTTACGCCTAAGGGGAGCTTGAGGACAAATGATTCGAGTATGGTTAAGAAAACACTGATATTGTTAAATTGTCTAATGTTTAAAAAATTTCATTTTAGGTTATAAAAAATATGTTTCACAATGGTTTAGTGTGCTTATGCAGAAAATGCAACCTCATTTGTATGGAAATGGTGGAAATATCATTATGGTCCAGGTGATAAAACAATATTACCAACTCTCAGGATTTCGTTATATTTTTAAATACGTATTGCAATGTACCGGTACCTTTCAAAAAGTATCTTGGACATTTGCACAAAATACCTCAAAAATATTATCTCTGATAATTACATAATTATACAATATTTACATATAGGTGTTAATTTTTGTTCTAACATTTTTAATTGATTTCACATAGGTGGAGAATGAGTATGGGAGTTACTACGCCTGTGATTCAGACTACAAACTATGGTTACGTGATTTATTAAAAGGATACGTAGAAGACAAAGCTTTACTCTTTACAATTGATATATGTAGCCAGAAAGATTTTGACTGTGGTCCTATTCCAGAAGTGTACGCGACCGTTGATTTCGGAATTTCAGTAAATCGTGAGTTATATGTACCTACCTTTAATTATTATATACACTCCATTTTGTTTAATGGTGCCAATACACTTTTGAGATTAGATCTTTGCTAGTACTTATACTATACTGTACATTTACAACCGATTTCAACGAGGCTGCTTATTAACTTTAATGATGAATTATTTTTAGCTGCCAAATGTTTTGACTTTCTGAAAAACTTTCAAAAAGGCGGACCACCTGTCAACTCTGAGTTTTATCCAGGTTGGTTAGCTCATTGGCAGGAACCATATCCTAAAGTGAATTCTGACGATGTTGTGAACCAAATGAAATCAATGCTGTCATTGAATGCCTCGTTTAGTTTTTACATGTTCCACGGAGGTACTAATTTTGGATTTACGTCTGGCGCCAATATATTCGTATCAGATACAAATATTGGATATTTACCTCAGCTAACATCATACGATTATGATGCTCCAATAGCTGAAGCTGGTGACCTGACCGAAAAATATTTCAAGATAAAACGGACGCTCGAGAATGCCGTGAGTCTTTTAACTTTTCGCAGTCCTATGCGAAAGTCAAAAATTTCAGAAATTTTTTTTTTAGAAACATTCAGGTCCGGTACCAGAGAATATCAGCGTTATATCGCCGATTCCAAAGCTTAAAGCAGCCTATGGCACATTCTACTTACGACCATTGGTTAGTATATTTGACAAAGTTACTCATCGGATAAATCCAGTGTTAAGCGATAACCCTTTAACGTTTGAAGGCATGGATATCAACACTGGGTTTGTAATGTACGAAACAATACTATTAAATAAGTTCCAAAACCCAGTGAATCTAACCGTGAACTCTGTAAGAGATCGAGCAATCATATTCCTGGATCAAGTAAAGTCACATCAGTACACAATAGTTATCGGTATGAAAATAATATTTTACTATTTCAGGTAAAAGTTGGCACTATGAATCGATTAAAAGGAAACACGACTATATTTTTAGACATAAAAAAACATTCTGCTCAAACACTGAGTATTTTGATTGAGAACCAAGGAAGGATCAACTTCGGAGATTTCATCGAAGACAGAAAGGTCAACTGATAAAATGATCTAATTAATATTTTATTCTCAGTTTAATTGGGTTAAAACAATATTTTACAAAACATTAATATAATTATATTATTCTGTCCAGGGAATCTTGGGTAATGTACTTCTTGACGATGAAAAAGTGGGTCCGTGGAAAATGATTGCTCACCCTCTAAACGAAACGTCTTGGCTTTCTTCGATCAAACCAGTAGACAATGTCGAAGTACCGGCATTTTATAGAACACAGTTTACTTTGCCAGAGAACTTAGATACCTTAGATACTTATCTGGATACATCAGGTTGGACTAAGGTGTGTATTCTGTTTTTGTTTGTTTTTTATCACTTTTTTTTTACTTTTATCTGTTGTAATGAACTCATGGCATATAAACTATCGTTAAAAATATAATATATTTCATAATTCTTATTTTTATAGGGAGTAGCGTTTTTAAATGATATTAATCTGGGTAGATATTGGCCACTCGCAGGACCTCAGATTACACTCTACGTACCTGCTAGTTTTCTAAAGCCACCGCCTGCTGCCAATTCACTTGTCATGTTTGAACTTGAACATGCGCCTCAAGACCTGTCAATTAAGTTTGTAGACGAGCCGAAAATCAATGGTCATATAAACACATTAGGCCCTTCATCAGTCCTAATAATAACTAGCCTCTTTATGGCTACAACTCAGTGTTACCATATTTTTAAAACCTAATAATCGTACCAAACTGGTTTTAGTTATCGTACTTTATCGTACAAACAGGGCACCAATATTGTACGATATAATATAATATAATATAATATAATATAATATATTATGATATATCGGCTGGTGCGTTAATTTTTTTACATGAATCGTAGGTGCATACATTTGCATGTTTCATTTGCAGGTTGTAATAGTTGCAAAGTTTGAAAAAAATATTATTTATATATATATTAAATATTATGTAATTTTATATTTTTAATGATATGGAAATTTCAAAATTACTTACTGAAGTTTTCAATTTTTATTTTATATTGTTTAGCTTAATCTTAATAATGATAATATGTATCTACCTACCTACTATTGAATTTTATTGTTTTATTTTATTGTTTTATTTTATATTTTTATGACATGGTTATTAAATGAAGATGACGAACTATAAACACTTACTTGTTACTTTATATTTTGTTTTTGTATTTTAATTATTGGTAATGACTACCTTTAATATCTTCATCAAATATTGTATTACACATAAATGTTGAAAGTTAAGATATAAGTCAGAAGTCTATGGAATTGACTAATGGAAAAACCTTTATTTATTATAAATAATTATAAGTAAATGGTATATAATATCACATTATATAATATTTTCATGATTTTAATTATTAATAGGTACATATACTATTATAATTCCTAATAAAACAAATGTGATGTTTTCAGAAAAAAATTAATTCAACTTTATTGTACTGTATACTATTAATAATACCTGTTACCCTATTCTTGAAATCGTGATAAACTTTGTCTTATGTGATAAAAATGTTTTCGCATGAAAATAAATATTTGGTATTCTTGAATTGTGGTATGACTTTAGTCGAACTGGTAACAAGTCTGTGACAACATTTAGTCACATGGTTTTCGCATACGTTATCAAACATTTGAGGAATGTGATCAATTTTTGAAATTGTAACAAAATAAAATATTAAAATTTAAAATCTATTTGAAGTATTTTAGTACTCTTGTGCTCTCATCCTCGTATCATAGTCATTCTACATTTCTAGTTTTTACAATGGCTAATAATAATGAAATGAAAATGTTTGTTATTGAAAATATTGAACAACATGAACGCTTCATTCACGTAAGACAAAGTTGAAATCCAGAATTTATTACAGACCCATTTACATACACAGATCGACTATTTATTAAAAACTATAAAGTAACTAAAGAAATAGTTACTAATTTAGTTGAACTCGTAAGACCTTATAGTGTCAAAGAGTCGTTTGTTTGCGATTGATTTTAAAACAAAAGTAAGTATCTTCACTGATTTTTCTCTTTGTGATGTTAGATATATTCATTTCACTATTATATAAGATAATGGGTCATTGGGCTCCGTGCATGCTCGTGTGTAAGATCATTTGGTGCTTTAACTGGTTTTACAATTAAATATATTTCAGGCATATAATCCACAGCTTGTTGATTTTTTAAGGCTTTGATTTTAATCAACATTTTATTACTTTAATAAAATACTTGTTAGAAAAATTATTAAATTAATTTCTTTTATATAAATAAAATTATTATTGAGGTTTTTGTTACATTGAATTTTTTGGCTACGGGATCATACCAGTCACCTATTGGTAACAGTAAATTCATAGCTGTATCCCAACCAACCGTATCTCGCTGTATAAGTGAGATTGTTGCTGCAATAAATCATCCTGAAATATTTCATGATTGGGTTGTTTCCCAAAAATATGAATGAGCTCTCCAAAGTGCACAATGAGTAATTAATGTTTATAATTATTTATGAGTAATGAATAATAAATGAAACATAATATTTATTTAACATTTAGTAAATATTTTTAAAGGATCAAAAACGACCAAGAAGTGTTTTTTTTTTTTAAATCAGGAAATTACTTTGTCACACCAACATTATTAAATGAAAAACTAAAATGCCTATAAATTAAAATGTATTATTTGTTATGACTTACAAATACTACAATGCATATTATAGAATATAAATGTACTAGCTGATCACGTGCACTTTGTTGTCCGTAAAAAATGACAACTCTTAAAAAATATATATATTACTATCCCTGTACCAAATTTCTTTAAAATCGGTCCAGTCCTTTAGGAATGCATAAAGGACTAACAAACAGACAGTCAGACAGACATTTATTTTCATATATATAGATAATTTATTATTATTCTGTATGGAGGTAAAGTATATTATTATTTATTATTTGTAGATGTGTATTATTGGTATGCATGGTGAATGATGATGCATATGCTTTTTTTTCATGGGTAGGTATAATAAAAAATAGTTCATGGGTACGTTATGTCCTACACACAAAATATATAATTATATGTATTTACTATTATGAAGAAAAAGTTTGACTTAACTTTCCACCACACAGTAAAGGATCTTTAGCCATTAGATCAACCAAAGTTTTCATTTGTAATTGAGCAGGCCTTGACTTAGGCATTGCTATTTAACGCACTTCAACTTGCTACTTGCTTAGAACTTATGTGCTTGTATACTACAACTTACAAGTCTACAAATTGTATGAAATGAAATGGACAACTTTTCATTAAATGATCGCTACCAAAATGGCTACAACAAAATATAATATATATATACAATATTATACACCATACAGTAACGTAATAATAAAGGGGAAGATACCTAGCCCAATAGTGGGAAAGATTTTACTCTAGGATCAATTATGAGTTTATCTAGTGAAATTGATAATTAAAACACATTTGCAACCATAGACAGTAATATTTGTGTAACATTTTCTATAAAATACAGTTAATGAAAATAAAAATAAAGATAAAATGTTTTGAAAATCTCGTTTAAGCATATAGTATAGGTATGCATTTCCTTTGAACACTGTCCACAACTCTTCCTGTCTATCTTTTCCAACTTGATCAATGCGAATCTATAAATTATTAAGTTTTGATTAATAATTACTATCGTAGGTATTTAATATTAGAAAAATGTAGAATATAATGCCTATACTAAACTCCTTAAAAACAGGTTGCATTACGACAGTAAGTCTCCCCTAAAATGTCGTATCTTTTTTAAATATGTAAATAATGAATGTCTGTCATTGCAATTGGGCAGTGGCATAATTATGATTTTGTTCTGAAGGAGGAAATAATTTTTTATAGACGTCAGGTAGGAGGGATTTGTTTGACATTTCAAAATATTCGAAACGTTTTAGTCGCACAATGTATTGTTCAAACAGTAACAGTTTAATAAGTAATTATTAGGTATAAATCATAAAAAAATTTGCATTTGTTATTAAAATGTTTATTTTGCTTAAAGGCAAAGTTCAAAAAAGTAGAAAGATAGATTAAAAAAAATAGATACATGTTAATTTTAATTTTTTTTTTGTTTTTTAATAACAAAATAAAATATTTTTAATAGCATAAATAAGACTGTTTAAACATTTTTGCAAATTTAAAGAGTATAAATGGTAATTTTTAGGACATAGGTACTACAAAATTCATGGACCTATGCATTTTTTAAGGTTTTTTATAACATGATGTCAATATATAATATAGCCCTAAATAATATTATTTTTCGATTCTAGAGTTCAGAGTTATAACTTTTTTGATTAATTTTACAAAAGTTAATAAATATAATAATTAATTTATAGGTATATAATAAAAAAAAATGAAGATAATTATTGTTAAATTCGAAAAAAAACTAATATCATTATATTAGTAAATACACGACTATCGTTGAATTTAAGGTATTTTTGTTTCAAAAACACAAATACTTACACTTTTTGATAGATAACTATTTTTAATTTAGCCGTAACACACATGTACCTATATAATAACTTTATTATTGACAATAGTCTTCTATTGTATTTCAACATCACGTTTATCAATATAATGATTGTAATATTATTTTTACTGTTTGTGATAGGCGATAGCCGACAGGGTCTTGCCAATGTAGTAGGTACCGAATAAATAAATATTTTACAATAGTCGGTATACAAAACTATAAATATCCACCATGCGTACCTACGTCGAATCTTCTAGGAATCGAGCTCATCGTATTTACTATTTGCCCTAAAGCCCCTCTCCTATTTGCGGCTATGCAAGGCTGGGGAAGTTAACTATTTTTTTTTAACTCGCTAAGTTAAGTTAATATAGAAAAATTTAAGTTAAGTTTAACGTTTAAAGTTACTTTATTTTTTTTGACTTGTAAAATTAGAAAATAAAAGTAACTCAAATTAGTTAAAAAATAAGTTTTTTTTTAAATATAAAATTAATACATTTAATGCACAACAAAATGCAGAATCGTTTTTTCTATGGTTTTAAGTAATCTTAGAGTAAGATCAACCATTACAAAAAGATAGAGAATAGTATAATTGAGCGAATGACATATCGATTTGTGTAAACCGAATTTTTGCTCAGTCCCCCGAATTTCGAATTTATTATCGAGTGTGTATTTATCACATCGTTATAAAAATCACTGTCATCGAATTTCGCTGTCTCAACGCCGTCCGACCCTCAATTTATTATTCTTGATGCTTGTTTATAATATCGTGTTTATAAATATTATTACTATTATTCATTGGTTCAATGTTCATAACACTTGATTTAACATTAAAAATTAAAATATAAATCATGCTATCAGCAGTGTTTAGTAGGTAGTAACATAACTCAAATTACAAATTACTGTAACAAAATTACTTTTGCTGTAACACTGAAATAATTTAATTAAATTGTATTTAAATTAACGTAATTGGAACAATATTACTTTTTAACAGTAAGTTCTATGGAGTAACTATTTATTTTCCACGTTATTAAAATATATCATGAATGAAGAATGTATGACAAAAACTAAGGACTAGGATATTTGAGAAAAGATTTATTTACGATTCCGAAAGTTTTTATAATTTTATTATATAACAATATTAATAAAGATCCCAGGAATTAATACTTATACATTTTGTTCATGTATAATATTATGGCATTAACAATGTAGGTATATATACTAC